GGTATGATTGACATACAGAAAGCTGTATATGTTTAATGTATACAACTTGATGAGTTTGGAGATAAGTATACATCTGTTGAAACCATCACCACAGTCTGTGCCATAAACATATCCATCACGTCCAAAAGTTTCCTCCTACCTTCTTTATATTATTATTACTAATATCGTTACAGTTTGTGATAAGATGTACCCTCTTAGCAAAACTTAAAGTACTGTATACGATACAGTATTGTTAACTATGGACCCTGTGCTATATACATTAGATCTCTAGGACTTACTCATTTTGCATAGTTGAAACTTCGTACCCTTTGACTAATACCCCCGCCCCCAAACCATCTTCCCCTTCCCCATCCCCTGGCAATCACCTTTGTATGCTTTGCTTCTATGACATGGACTATTTTAGATTCTTCAGATAAGTGGAATCATGCAGTACTTGTCCTTTTGTGACTGGCTTATTTCACTTCGCATAATGTCCTCCACGTTCATCCATGTTGTTGCAAACGGCAGAATTTTCTATTTTAAGGCCGAATAACATTCCACTGTATGTATATACCACATATATCCTTATTAAGAGTTTTTGATATATTCTGGATACAAGTGCTCATCAGATATATGTATTGTATTTTCTCCCATTCTGTGGCTTGTCATTTTTACTTAAATTTTTGAGTGTGTGTGTGCGCGCGCATATGAGAGAGAGAGAGAGAGAGAGATTGAAAATTTTTTGGTGTTTGATGTGGCCAGTGCATTCACATGGCACAAAATTCAGAAGATACAAAATTTTATCTGGTGAAAAGTCTCCCATTTGCCCAGGCCCCATCATTTCCCTTCCTCTGGCAGCAGGTTTCCCTCCCCAGAAGCAACCAGTGTTACCAGTTTCTGGAGAAACTTTCTAGAGGTAGATGTTATGCGTAAATATGAAAGTGCATACATGTAATTCTTTTAAAAGTCAGGTGTTAGCATACCGTACACAGAGTCTTGTACCTTGCTGTACACAGTCATAGATCTTGGAGATCATTCCATATGGTACATAAAGCTCTTCCTCCCTCTCCCCTCCCTTTCCCTCCACTCCCTTCCTTTTTTTTTAATGACCCTCTAGTATTCCTTTGTTTCTGTTAGTTCAGTGCCTACAGTCCCAGATGAGAAGCCTGTGCCAGTGATTCTTTTTCTTCTGTACCCAATCTTCCACATATCCCTAGAGTTTTCTTCTTAAATTGAGAAATTTACCAGCCTGCTTGTATTTAGGTATATATTTTTCTCAGGTATTTCTGCTTTATACCCTTTCAATTTTACCACTTTGTCTACATCCTTTTTTCTTCTTTTTTTTTTTAATTTTTTTTGGTACGTGGACCTCTCACCGTCGTGGCCTCTCCCGCCGCGGAGCACAGGCTCCGGACGCGCAGGCTCAGCGGCCATGGCTCACGGGCCCAGCTGCTCTGCGGCACGTGGGATCCTCCCGGACCGGGGCTCGAACCCGTGTCCCCTGCATCGGCAGGCGGACTCTCAACCACCGCGCCACCAGGGAAGCCCGCTTTTTTATTCTTTATTCTCTTTTTTAGGAGAAAGGACTTGTGGATATTTGGATTTTAATCTCTCCTTTTTGGGTCTTCACTTTTTCTGGGCTCATTCTATCAGGTTATATTTTCATTCTTTATGTTCAGGGAATTTCTTGATTTGATCTTCTGAATGATGGATTTATTTTTAATTTCATTCCATTCCACTATTTCTACTTCTCTATTTAATTTAAATTTAATCTCACTTATGTTTGTTTTAGCAATCATGTTTTTGGACCTGCTTTCAGATTGTGATGTCCAAGATGGTGATCCTGGCTTAGGGCAGGAACTGACCCCCTTCAGACGGGCGTGCACTGACCTTCTGGGCTGCACAAGTGGGCTGCTGCTTCTGCCCTCTTGGGGAGACACATGCTGTTGCCCACCCCCAAGTAATGAGACTTGCTCTTGGGCCTCCTCTGGGGCATGTATTTGTGTGGCCATGCGTACCTGTGTTTGCGTATAAACATGTACATATGTGCGCGTAAGCAGCGCACAGACTCTGCAGTCAGCCTTTGCCTGGCTGCAGTGGTTAGGGTTGGAATGGGATGCGGTAAGAAGAGAATGGAGAGTAGATCCTTGGAATTGCTCTTGGGCAGGCTTCCTGTGTGTGTGCTTGGCTGATAACAGGACAATAGGCTGGGTGGACCCTTCTTAATTGAGGAAGTGGGGAAAGAGTTGCCCTGCAGTTGGAGAACTTCACAGCTGATCCCAAAATACCCTTCCTCTTTTCTTTCTTCAAGCTGCGCTAGAAACTCAGCATTCCACAACCCTTTCCTCACCCGACCCGCCAGCTCAGTGAGTGCCTGCTTCTCTTCTCAGTCACTCACTTCTGAATTGGGGGTTTTTTTGTCAGACCCTTCCCGTGTCCAGCATTTCCCACTGTGGCCCAATTAGGTTTTGGTTTCTCAACTCTGGCTAAATTTGATTTTTCTGTAAATTTGATCCTGTCACATCTCTTCCAGAAATTATGCAAAAAAAAAATTTTTTTTTTGACTGATGACATCCATCCCCATTTTCCAGATTTTAAAAATAGATTATCATTTATATATATATATATTTATATATATATATATATACATACACACACTTATTTATTTGGCTGCGCCGGGTCTTAGTTGTGGCACTCAGGATCTTCATTGTCACATGCGGGATCTTTAGTGGCGACACGCGGGATCTTTAATGTGGCATGTAGAATCTAGTTTCCTGACCAGGGATCGAACCCGGGCCCCCTGCATTGGGAACACAGAGTCTTAGCCACTGGAACACCAGGGAAGTCCCTAAAAATAGATTTATTCTTAATTTTATGTTTCCTTTGTCATTGAATTTGGAGGAACATGAGAGTCAAGCCCAGGGCTCAGCCCATCCCCACTGTGGATGTAGTGGATTTCATTATTTTTCACTGGCAGGGATGTAACGGCCTCTTCCACCAGTTTCTTTGTTCCCCTTCCACATAATTTCAATAAGAGCAGCAGCTATTAAATTGAGTGCTATGTGCCGTATCTCATGTCAGAGCTGATTTAATTGTTCTTTCGCTTTGTACCCGCTGGGTACCAGGTGGACATTGTTTTGGTTATGCACTGCTGCTTAACAAACCACCCCAAAATGAAGTAGGTTAAAATACACATTTATTCTTGTCGCTTGTGGCTGTATGAGTTGCCTGGCCTCAGCTGTATGGTTCTTGCTTGGAGTCTCTCATGTCATCTGAAGGCTCAACTGCGCTGGGGGCCTAAGGTGACTTGTGGCTGGCAGTTGACTCGAGTGACATCTCCATGTGGCTTGGGCTGCTCAAGGCAGGCTGGATGGGCTCCTGGAGGATGCATCCCAAGAATGCGCATCCCAAGAGACAGGAAGTGGAAGCTACTGGGCCAGGTGAGGGCTGAGCCCAGAAAAGGCACGACATCAGTTCTGCCGTATTCTTTTTTTTTTTTGCGGTACATGGGCCTCTCACTGTTGTGGCCTCTCCCGTTGCGGAGCACAGGCTCCGGACGCGCAGGCTCAGCGGCCATGGCTCACGGGCCCAGCTGCTCTGCGGCATGTGGGATCTTCCCTGACCGGGGCACGAACCCGCGTCCCCTGCATCGGCAGGCGGACTCTCAACCACCACGCCACCAGGGAAGCCCTGCCATATTCTTTTGTTCAAAGCATTCATAGGGCCTGCCCAGATTCAAAAGGGGAGACTGATAGACTCCATCTCCTGATGGCAGAAGCGGCCAGGGCACATTGCAGATAAACATGTGGGTCGGGAGATACCGTAATGGCCATCCTTTAAAATATATGAACTGACACAGATGCCATGCTGCAGATACAACGATAACCGATCCCAGGACCACAGATCCTCAGACCGTACGGGGCAGAGGCAGGTACATAAACAGGCAGTAACAGCGCAGATGATGAGTGCTTTGAGAGGACCAGGCACGGGGGCATGAAGAGAGCAGGGTGGGGGATATCTAACCCAGACTGGGCAAGTGCTGGCATGGATGGGAGGTCAGTGGAGAAAGAAGGCATCTCAGCGGGGATATCTTTGGAGCTGAGTCTTGGAGCACAAGGGAACGTTAGCTAGGTGAACAAGGAGGGAGGAGGCATCCCAGGGAGAGGAAGCATCCCTCTCTGAGATGTGGTAGGGTGTGTGAGAGCTCATGGCACTCTGGGGGAATTGCTGGCAGACTGAGGATTGGCAAGTAATTGGGTGCTGCTGGCACATGTGATGGGAGGTGAAACTGTAGCAAAAGTAGGTATATTCTACCTTCAGATTCTGTGCGTCCTTGGCCTGGCCTCTGAGCCCTCAGTTGGTTCTGTATCCAAAGTATATTAGGGGTGATGGCCGGGCTGCTGAGGAGGATGGTGGAAGAGCAAGCCTCAGCAGCTCCACTTTGGGGATCCTCCCTTGGATCCTCCCCATTCTTCATCCTTCAGTTCCCCTTGTTCCTTACACTGTGCTTCCCTTCTCAATCTGTAGCTTAAGTGCGCATGTAGATAAGGATTCTGTTTGCGGTTGAAGGATAAGGGCAGACGTGGGACGAGGAGGATGGGAGCTGGAGCACCTAGGTGCTTGGCTGAGCATTTTATTTTATTTTATTTTATTTTATTGGCCGTGAGGCATGTGGGATCTTAGTTCCCCGACCAGGGATTGAACCCACACCCCCTGCGTTGGAAGCGCAGAGTCTTATGCTTCCAGTAAGTGGACTGCCGGGGAAGTCCCCTGGCTGAGCCTTTTAGATTCTCTCTCATTTGATGCTCTCCGAGACAGGCAAATAATAAAAATATTATCTCTGTTTTAAGGCTGGACTCTCTCAGCTTGTTAGGAGTGGACATGGGACAGGGTTACTTGTCACTGTACCCCCAGTGCCTTCAGACACGCTTATCTCCAGCCTGTGTGTCCAAGATGCTGATCCTGGCTTAGGGCAGGAGCTGGCCACCTTTAGACGGGAGTGCACCGACCTGGTCTGCACCTGGGGGCTGCTGCTCCTCCCTTCTTGGGGAGGCACATGCTGTCGTCCCCAGGCAGTGAGACTTGTACTTGTGCCACCTGGGGGGTGTGTGTGTGTATAAACATGTGCACGTGTGCACAGGCAGGCAGACTTGGGTGAGGGGGCAAGCCCAATCATAACCCCAAACTCCTTTGGTTAGAAAGAGAAGGTTCTGAAAAGAGTTCTGGAGAGCAGTTGGACAGCCGTATGCATGGACTTATTTGAATTGTACACTTAAAGATGCCTAAGACAGTAAGTTTTATGTGTATTTTACCACAGTCAAAAAAAAAAAGAAAAAAAGAGAGAGCAAATGTGGTAATACCCGTTTGGCACAGCCTAAGGAAATCATTCTAGAGTCCTGAAAACACTTGACGTGTGGGCTTGCTGATGGCAGCTGGAAGGAGGTGAGATCTCCAAGCCTTTCACGTGTACTTTTGGAAACTTGTCTTTGCACCAGAACCCAAGAAGAATGGGTTTCCTGCCTTCTTTATGTGGACTCCTCCCTTGGTGAGTAACACCGTTGCGCATAGAATCAAACACGTTCCTTACACTGAGTTTGAGCACAGCGTTTGGCTGGTGTTTGTGTCCTTTGCTTCTTTGGGTGATTTTGAGGACTGTTTGTTTTCCTGGGGCTTGAATTTCATAGGAAGATGCAATTCACTGGGTATAAATATTACCATCTGCCATTAGTCCCAACTGACAGAGGACAAGGACTTGGTCATTGAAGACAAATACTTGCGGGTCACGTCTCCTGCATCTTTGTTCTTGGCAGAGGCATTGATGGCGCCTAGGCGTGGCTGAAGGTGGAGGAGGGGACACCAGCTCTATCACCAACATTTTCTCGAAGCTGATAAAGGTAGTTCAGCCAGTCACAGAGTCCCCGAACCATAGTGTTGTCCCACAGTCTCTCTTCTTGTTTACAGAGTCCTTCCTTGCTGTTCTGGCTCTGAACAGAGCTTTGACAAAGCCATTTTATTTTGTTGTTGTCCTAAAATTTTTTTAGTGTGATGTAGTAGAAACTGTGTGGCTTTAGAACCAGAGGTAATCTTTTTAATCTTTACCAGTTTGATAGGAGAAATGATATCTTGTTTTCATTTTCATTTTGTTGTTTGCTATTGAAGTTGAACAATTGTTATTATTTTTATTGAAGTATAGTTGATTTACAGTGTTGTCTTAGTTTCAGGTTTACAGCAAAGTGATTCAGTCATAAATGTATATATATATTATATATATAATATATATATCCTTTTTCAGATTCTTTTCCCTTATAGGTTATTACAAAATATTGAGTATAGTTCCGTGTGCTATGCAATAGGTCTTTGTTATCTATTTTTTAAAATTTATTTTATTTTTTTTGCTGTGCCATGTGGCTTGTGGTATCCTAGTTCCCCAACCAGGGATTGAACCTGGGCCCACAGCAGTGAAAGTGCCGAATCCTAACCACTGGATCTCCAGGGAATTCCCCTGTTATCTATTTTAGCTAAAGTGGTGTGTATATGTTATTTATTTATTTATTTATTTATTTATGGCTGTGTTGGGTCTTCATTGCTGAGCGTGGGCTTTCTCTAGTTGCAGCGAGCAGAGGCTACTCTTTGTTGTGGTGCGTGGGCTTCTCATTGCAGTGGCTTCTTTTGTTGCTGAGCACAGGCTCTAGGTGCGTGGACTTCAGTAGTTGTGGCACTTGGGCTCAGTAGTTATGGTGGCAGGCTTAGTTGCTCTGCAGAATATGGGATCTTCCTGGACCAGGGCTCGAACCCGTGTCACCTGCATTGGCAGGTGGATTCTTAACCATTGTGCCACCAGGGAAGTCCCTCTCCTCCCTTTTGGACTTCCCTCCCATTTAGGTTACCACAGGGCATAAGGTAGAGTTCCCTGTGCTATACAATATGTTCCCATCAGTTGTCTATTTTTTCCATAGTATGTCTTTAATGCTTATTTTCAAAATCCTTCATACGTTGAAGCAAACAACCTATGGTCATAGATGTTCAAATCCTTTTCCCAGTTTGCTGTTTATCTTTTCACATTTATTGTTTCTTGACATAGAGAAAAATTTGTTAAATAAGTTACTCTTCCTTTATGGATTCTGCTTTTGGTTTTTTTAATTTATTTTATTTATTTTACTTTTGGCTGCATTGGGTCTTCGTTGCTGTGTGCGGCTTTCTCTAGCTGCAGTGAGCGGGGGCTACTCTTGGTTGCGGTGCGCGGGCTTCTCATTGCGGTGGCTTCTCTTGTTGCTGAGCACGGGCACTAGGCGCGCAGGCTTCAGTAGTTGTGGCACGTGGGCTCAGTAGTTGTGGCACGTGGGCTCAGTAGTTGTGGCATGCAGGCTCAATAGTTGTGGCTTGCAGGCTGCAGAGCTCAGGCTGAGTAGTTGTGGCGCACAGGCTTAGTGGCTCCGTGGCATGTGGGATCTTCCCAGACCAGGGCTCGAACCCTTGTCCCCTGAATTGGCAGGTAGATTCTTAATCACTGCACCACCAGGGAAGCCCCCATTATTAACTTTTTATTTTGAAATAATTATAGATTCACAGGGAGTTACCAAAGATGTGTATAGGAAGGTCCCAGGTGCTCTTTATCCATTTTCCTCCAATGATAACATCTTGCATAACAATACCAGCAAATTGACATTGGTACAGTCGACAGAACTCATGCCGATTTCACCCATTTTACAAGCACGCATTTGTGAGTGCGTGCATGTGTGTAGTTTATTCTGTGCAGTTCTATCAGGTGTGTAGACTTCTGTAACCAGCACCACCACAGTCAACATATAGACAGTTCCACCACAGCAAGGCTCCTTCCTGCTGCCCTTTTATAGCCATGCCCATCCCATCCTCCATCCCCAACCCATGACACCTTCAGTCCTAAGAGTTTGTTTGTTTTTTTTTTTGTTTGTTTTTTTTTTTGCAGTACGCGGGCCTCTCACTGTTGTGACTTCTCCCATTGTGGAGCACAGGCTCCGGACCTGCAGGCTCAGCGGCCATGGCTCACGGGCCTAGCCGCTCCGCGGCATGTGGGATCTTCCCGGACCGGGGCATGAACCCGTGTCCCCTGCATCGGCAGGCGGACTCTCAACCACTGTGCCACCAGGGAAGCCCCTAAGAGTTTTTTAATGGCATTTTTAAATGACTGGAAAAAAGAAAGATGTTTATTTCATGCCATGTGAAAATTAGTGAAATTCAGACTTCTGTGTCCATAACAGTTATGTCCATAATTAAGACATAACTGTGTCCATTCCATAATGTTATTGGAATGTAGCCACGCCCATTTGTCCACCTACTGTATGAGGCTGCTTCTGCACCACAGCAGCAGACAGGAGTTGTTGCAACAGAGACTGTGACCTGAAAAGCCAGAAATATTTACTCTCTGGTCCTTTACCAAAAAAGCTTGCCAACCCCTGATATAAATCATCATCTAGTTTTCTTTTTTAATCTTGCATTTCATTCTTTTTTTTTAAATCGAGGTATAGTTGATGTAGTGCATTTATTTCTTTACATGACCTGATATTTATTTTTGTATTTGGCGTTAGAAAAGGATATAACTTAATTGTTCCCTAACTGGTTAACCAAATTCTCCATCAGCATTTATTGACTAATCTCTTCCCTCCTCACTATTTGAAGTTCCATAGTTATCATATACTAAATCTGTCCCATCAGTTTAGGGAATGACAGGGTGAATCATCGAGCTATGTGGGCAGGATATATATTACCCAAGAGTTCTCTGGGGATGAGAAGCCCTCACCCCCTGCATTAACACTGAGTGTTCAAGCCAGATGTGCCCATGCACCATGGTGTCTAACCACTCAGGTTTATTTCCATGTGCAGACACTGTGGTGGGGTCTAGCTTTATTTTTCTGGAGTCCATGGGGGATTGCTGATGGCCAAATGGAGCTGTTTGTTAATGGTTTCTGGTCCTTTATGTTGGATCCTCTCTGGAGCTGGCTGGCTCTTAAAAATCCTTTGAGAGGCAAGGTGACTTGGTATATTTCTCTGGCACTGGTGGATCAGGAATTTAATTGTTTGAAGGGACACGTGAAGGATTGCTCACCACCAGGCCCTACTGCAGATGCAAAGGTGAATGTGGTGGCAGTGGGTACGGGGTCTCTTGTCAGGTAGGTGCTTGTTCCATGAAGTCTCTTGCGACCAGGGGCAGGCGGTGGCCAGCCACCAGCCTCTGCTCTGGCCTCTTGGGGCTGAGCTCCGGTTGTGCCTCTGCTTGTTACTGGCTGAGTGACCTTGGGCCCGTCCTGTAACCTCCCTGGACCTGCTCTCCTAGTAGGAACACGGATAATAAAGCCCACCCTCCACCCCCACCCCCATCCCCACCCTTGTGTTATTTGAAGGGTTGAGAATACTGTGTAAAGCTTGCACAGTGCTCAGAAGATAGTATGAACGTACAATATTTAATTTCTTTATTCTCCCTTGACTTAGAGGTGTGGTGTGTAGATCGCTGTGAAAAAGTATGGATTTTTGTCTCCAAGTCCTGTCATCTTTCTTAGCCCCAAGAGTTTGCTTTCTGTTTTGGAATTTTGTTGTGTCGTGAGTCACTTCAGAGCCCAGGCTCCCAGAGCGCTCAGCTGGCCACCTTCTGCTCTCTGCCAAAGGTGGGTTCAGGTGACAAGAGATCCCGCTGGCCAGGTGTTGGAGCCAGGCGGCGCTAACAGCCTGTGAGCTGTTTGTTCATCTGGCCTTAAGTGGATGGCGGTGCGAGATTCCCCACGTGAGTTCCTGCCGTGAGCGTGCTGGCTGTGACAGTGGAAAAGTGACTTGAGTCAGGTATCCCTGAAGCAGGTGATGGAAGGTGAGTGGGAGGAGTCTCCTCTGGGAGGCAGCTCCCACCTGGGTAAGAATGTCAAGTGCCTGGTGACCTTGGTGGACCTTGGTGGACCTTGGTGTAAGCCTTTGCTGAGCACGGTCATTTTGGCAGGACTCGCCCTCTTGTCCTGAGGATGGGCTTTCTGGATTTAACCACAGCACAAACGGCAGTTGAACTTGTGTTTACTCGATTTTGCTAGAACTGCGGGAATTTATAATCCTCTGTAATTTACCTGTGTTTGAAACATGATCCCCCTGGTGTGGCCAGACTCTTTTTCTGCTGAGGAGACATTCATCAGAGTCTCCCAGGGCACCCGACCTTATTGTTGACGACACTTCTCACCTGTCCTTTCCTCTCCGTGGCATCTACCACCTGGCTCAGGTACCATTCGGGGGCGGGGGGAGGTGTGCCTGGACAATTACAAGAGCTCCCTAAATGAGCCCTCTCTTTTCTCCTATTTCCTCCCCTTTCTATCTGATCTGTGTGTTTTTTCTGAAGTCTTTTTGAAAAAGTTACGTGCGAGTGCCACTTTTCTGCTTAAAAGCTTAGCCACGGCCTGTGGGGTGCGCCTCAAATTCTTCAGCCTGTTATTTAAGATCCCTCAGAGTCTGGAGCTCGTTGGACCTCCAGGCCTTGCTTCCAGCCACCGCCCCTGGGCGGCTCCTGTTCTGTCCACAGTGATGGTCCCCAGCTGT